TGTACTGTATGACCTCTAGGACCTGGTCAACTTGGACCCTCTGCTCTGGGGGTACTGGAGATGGGAGTCTGTGCTCCTCCCCCGGCCTGAGATGTGGCAGGAGCAAGTGAGATCAACCCACCTGAGCTAGAGTTCCAGACATGCTGAGAAACTAAGCGAGGGTCTCCTAAAGTTCTGGGGCAGTAACAGACATCTCAAGTGCCTGCTCTTCAACTAGAGCTACTGGTGGCTCCTCTGTAGCAGCTCGTGCAGGTGCTCTGGTTGCACCATGTGGACGTCATTGGCCTCTACCTGGCCCCGGCATCTCGCGGCTCTAGCAGGAGAGGGGGGTTTGGTCATCCGTTCCAGCTGTACGTGTCCTCACCATCTGCGAGAGAATAAAAAGACAGAAATTTAGAATCACAAAATCAACAAATTCGCACGATAAGGAATCAAAGAAGTGAAGCTTTTCCTAACAGTTCCATATCCTACCGAAGATAAGTACATACGTCTCTGTACCGATCTGCGAACTCTACTAAACCTGCTTGTGATTAGTAACATCTATGAACCTAGAGCTCTGATACCAACTTGTCACGACCCCAGTTTTCCTCCATAAGATGTCGTGATGGCACCAAGTATCTAAGACTAAGTAAGCCTAACAAACATGCGGAAGTGACTGAAACAATAATTTAAAAATCTCAAAACTCAACAACATATATAAAGAGAAGTCTCTACAACTCAATGTGTTTACAATAGACCAAAACCCGGCGTAATACAAGTCACAAGCTCTATGACAATACCGAAATCATTCCTATACAACTGTGTCTAGTAAAGAAGGATAAACATAAAAAGGGATAGAAGAGGACTCTGAGGCCTGCGGACGCGGGCAGGTGTACCTTGAATTCTCCAAATGCGAACTCAGCTCACTAGTGCCGGGACTGATAGAAAGTACCTGGATCTGCACATAAAGATATGCATAAGCGTAACCACAATAGTACCCAGTAAGTGCCAAGCCTAACTTTGGTAGAGTGTGACGAGGTCAGGGCAAAGCCCTACTGGAAATAATAAGGAACAGGACGAAAGATATAACAATATAATGACAATGATAATAGAAATGAAACAAATAAGGAGTTTACCAAAAGTTAACTACACAGAATCAAGGCAGATAATACAACATGGAAGGAAACAAGGATTGACGTGTTAAGGAAACAAACAACCAAAGACAAGTACAGCAAATAGATAAAGATCAACAAGGGCCACTAACGAGGTACCGCCTCGTAGTCCCAAAGTAACTCACAGTCTTTACTTATATCACCGCGGGAGCCTTTACATTTAATTTTGAAAATTATTTTTCCCGAAATAGCATCCCGCGTTTTAGCCCACCTTATCACACTGCATGGCTTCTAGTAGTTCCCCAACTATCACGCATATCAAGCCCACCTTATCTCACCACATGCGATTCAACCCCTAGATCTTATACCACCGCATGCGTATCAATATCACAACATATCACAAATCACACCTCAAGTGCCCAATATCACAACTTTCCAGATAAACCAAACAATAACAGAATTTCACAATAAGGAGCCCTCGGCTCAACCACAATGTACACAAAATCTCAACAATAACAACCGGAAGAGTAACTCAATAGAATGATATTTCACAACTTAGCACTTTGCCTCAATAGGAATCACGTCCTTTGCAACTCAATACCAATTTCAAAAACAAGATATTCTAAAAATAGCAATTTAAAGTAAAGAATTCAATAGTTAAATAATGAATATGGGATAAAGAAAATAAGAACTTTAACTAAACATGTAGAGCAATTAGCAAATAAGAGATAAGACAAGTAGACGTGTGAAATTAGACCAAAAATGAGGACTATAACATGTTAAGGCAACTCAATTAAGGCATGGAAAGGATCTACATAGGTCAAATCGAAAATTTTCCACATTTAGCCCGTGTACACACTCATCACCTTGCGTACACGGCTTTCACATATCACTATTATCACAAACAACACCAATCCTAAGGGGTAGTCCCCCCCCCCCCCACAAGGTTAGGTAAGTCATTTACCTCGAACCACGCTAAATCAATCCAATAGTAGGCTTTTCCCTCGATTATCCAACTCCGAACGGCTCGAACATAGCCAAAGCAATTTTATACTATAAATATAACTATAGGAAAATAATTCAAATAATGAAATTACGATCCTTGCAAAGAATTATAAAGTCAACCCAGGTCCACGTCTCGGATAATTATAAGTTCGATATCGAGTCCAACCATACAAGAATTACTCAAATTTGACCTCATTTCGCCTTTCAAAACTCAAAAATTTAGTCTAAGAAGTTTCTACCATTTTTTTTAAATTTCCAACTCAAACTACTAATTTAATGAAGAAATTAACAATAGATTATTGCAAATTAACCAAAACTTAGTTAGGGTCGCCTCCCACCGAGCTCTCTAAGTCCAAAATGTGAAATATGAGATAAACCCTCGATTTTAGAATTTTAAGTCTGCTGCCAGTGGATTACTTTTTGCGAACGCGAAAAATGCCTCGCGTTCGCGAAGCACAATAATGCTACTGCCCAAATTAACACTACTCAAACACGAAAGTCCACTGGCAAATGTGACACACCGGCTCCTGAAGCTACACAATCGCGGTCCCCTACACGCGATCGCAATGAACAAAACACGTGGACCTGTAGCCCCCAAATTCTTCTACACGAAAGCGACTTTCTTCACGCGTTCGCGATTCACTGGAAGCCAACCTTCCGTGATCGTAGACCCATTCTCGCGATCGCATAGAGCGAATTTCCCCTAGTGCCAAACTACTCTTTGCAGCGTTAATCCACTCGCGATCGCATATAAGAAAACCAGAAGCACCAGATTCAGCAATCATCCATGTTCCGAAATGCGCCGAACATGGTCCGAATTACACCCGTGGCCCACGGGACCTCAACCAAATATACCAACAAGTCCTAATACATCATGCGAACACGCTCGAAGCATCAAATCACATCAAACAATACTAGAATCACGAATTGCACATCGATTCAAGCCTAAGGAATTATGAACTTTTGAATTCTGAAACCAATGCCAATTCATACCAATACAACTCCGATTGACTCCAAATTTGGCACGCAAGTCATAAATAATATTATGGACCTATTCCAACTTTCGAAATTGGGATCCGACCCCATATCAATAAAGTCAACTCCTGGTCAAACTATTCAAATCCTTTCAACTTTCCAACTTTCGCTAATTCACATCGAAACGACCTATGGACCTCCAAATCAACATCCGGACGCGCTTCTAAGACCGAAATCACTATACAGAGCTATTGCAACCATCAAAAATTTATTTCCAAGTTGTCTTCATAAAAGTCAAACTACGGTCAACTCCTACAACTTAAACCTCTAACTTAGGGACTATGTGTCCTATTTCACTCTGAAACTCCCCCGAAACCACAATCAAACACTCCAAAAAGTCACGTACCCACAATATAACATAGAGGAAGCATAAATTAGAGGATCGGGGCTAAAACACTCAAAATGGCCGGTCGGGTCGTTACATATTGATACGCATGCAGTGGTATGAGGGTTGATATTGAAACGCATGCGGTGAGATAAGGTGAGATTTATACCTGTGTTGCTAGTAAGGGAATTACTTGAAGGTCACAGAGTGAGATGAGGGAGCTAAAGCGCTTGTAGCTATTTCGGAAAAAATATTTTTAAAATAAATGCAAGGCTCACGCGGTGATATGAGGAAATTTGTGATTGTAACTTTTGAAATGTGAATATGAGGTGCGATACCTCGAATGTGATTCTTGTTGTGCATTTTATGTTGAAAAGGCTTGTTGGTTGGAACAGTTATTATCTTTCCTTCTTTCGTTTACTTGTATTATACGATATTTGATCACTTTTTGTTCTTACCATATGATCCCTCTTCGTTGTCTTTTATTGCCTTAATATCTGTTGTTAGCCTTACATCATTGTATTGTTCAGTTGTCATCATTTCTTTGTTTTCTGCTATTAGACTATATTAATATTCTGTTCAGGTTTTTATGTCTAGTAGGTGTTATGACCTGACCTCGTCAATATTCTACCGAGGTTAGGCTTGATACTTACTGGGTAACGTTGTGGTATATTCATGCTACGCTTCTATACATTTATGTGCATATCCAGGTACTTCTGCTTGTGTTGGACGTCAGTAAGTTGACCCAGAGATTTTGGAGACTTCAAGGTATACCTGTTTGATGCTCGCGGGCCTCGGAGTTACCTTTTGTTATTGCTTTTACTACTGTTTATTTTCGTATCAAACAGAGTTGTATTTAGAAATTACTAGTGCATTTTATGTAGAGCTTATGACTCAGTTCCACCGGTTTTGGGAATTTTGTACCTGTTAATCCGTTTTGGTTTTATTGTGAAAATTATCAGTTTAATTTTATATCTTGTTTGTTAATTCTGTTAAATTCTCAATGATTGTTAGGCTTACTTAGAGACTAGGTGCCATCACGATATCATAAGATGAGAATTTGGGATGGTGAGTCGTGACACTTATACATTGGCAAAGTTCATAAAAAATGGGCTTGCTTTTGTATAAATAACATCAGGACGGGAAGAAATGTCTTTCTCAAGTACTAGCTTTGGTTAGCTCTTTCCGACTAAAATATTATCTGCAAATCAGCTTCCACTAGCATGTATAATCAAGCTAAGATTGTGACGAGAAAGTTTGTGTTTGTTCCCTGCCAAGGGAGGCCACCATTCAACCAACAGAGTAGCGGCGGTGATAGCTGTTCTAAGAAGGCAATAGTTGGTAAGCTCGTGATGGATGCAAATGCAAACATTACAAAGGATGATATCTCCTCTTTGCTCATCAACAATTAGAAAGAGATAGTTGGCAAGCTTTTTATCAATGACGATGGGCAGATTCTTGCTTGGTTACAAGTTGGTGAAAGTATGAGGCAGATTTTGGTTGGGGAAAACCAATTTGGGTGAGCTTGAAGGAAGAAGACATGATTGAGTTTGAACAAGATCAGGACATTCTATCTTTACATTTTCTGAGTTGTAAAGCCAAGATTCTCAAAGTTTAATTTGTTTGACAAGTACAGTATATCATAATACAATTCAGAAGATAATCTAAACCCTATGAACACTTCCCTTTGTTATGGTGATCATCAGCAAAGAATTAAACAAGTATATATAAAGTTCAAATTACACTTCTTCAGTTTCAAGTATCTGCTTTCAAAATTGCTTCTTCGCTAACCTGCACAAGACCATCAGATGAATAATTTGTTTGACCTTATTATAATTACTAGTTTTCTGGAACCTCATTGTACCTTGGTTTTATCATTGTATCTACCCAAGATACTTGAGTAAAACACCATCGTTCCCCAGTACAAATCCCTGGTTGTCATTGATAAACCTGCATAACAATGTTTCACAATATCATGAAGATAAGATTTTAAAATCACATGTACAGACAGCAGACCACAACTTTATCCTCAATTAAGTTTTCATGTGGAATCTAATAACGAAAGGCTGAATACATACGGAGACACTTAAAGTTGGCACGATTTTTCATTTAGACATCTGAACTTAGGGGTGTTCCTAATGAGCACGTACATTACATGAACTTTGTTTCAATTAGGCACTTCTATCTGAGTTGACACAGAGTGAGTTTCACCCAATATAGGCGCGTGAAAAGCCCAAAAAACAGTCTTTTTTTTGTCTTTTTTATTTCCTTCTTCTTTTCTTTATGTCCACCACCATTGCCTCCTCCACTTTCACCATTTTCTTTTTCTTCTGTATCAGTGTCACTACTCATATCCAATTGAAGATAAAGCAATTAATTTAAGCTTAAGCTCTCAAATTCAATCATCTTTCCGTTACAGAACTCTCAATTACTTTAAGCAATTAATTTAAGCTTAAGCTCTCAAATTCAATTACTAGCTAATGCTTCGAATTCACCTTTCCGTTACAGAACTCTCAGTTAGCTTGTACCAGACCAAACAACCGGCCGCCGGCAAGCTCCCCCTCCTCACCACCAAATCCTCCGCCACCCTCCTTTCTAACCCCCATCGCCGAACCCTTCTTCTTCACCCCACCCATCTCCAGCTGTCACTCTTCTGCAGGAGCAGCCCCCCCAATTGATTAAAACTGAAATGAGACCGAGGTCTTCATTTCAAATCGAAACACCATTAATGGGGTCTTTAAAAAGCTTGAAGGTTTAAAATGGGTTACTTGATTTGATGAAAGTTTGTGAAATTAATGTTGGGGTTGCCTTCGGGTCGTCTTGGGGAATCTTTAGCTGAAGTTATAACAAATTTGGAGGAGTTTTTCTTAAAAGTTTGGATTAAAATCTTGGTTGGAACAAGAACACACATGAAGATAGTGAAGAACACCAAGAACACACCTTAAATAGATTTAACATAGTTTTCCCTCTCTTTTTTAACTCAAAAAGATATATGTCCACATTTTATTCGCCATTTGCCACATCAGCAGCGAGTGTATTGCACAGACTTTGTAAGTTTCACTAATTGTCAAAAGAGTGTCTAATTGGAACAAAGTTCGTGTAATGTACGTGCTCATTAGGAACACCCCTAAGTTCAGGTATCTAAACGAAAAACCGTGCCAACTTTAAGTGTCTCCATATGTATTCAGCCAATAACGAAACGAAGGCTGACTTTTAAAATAAAAGGTGTGGGTGGGACAACATGGAATTATCTATAGCAGTTTACTCACACTTCATTATAGACAGCAAACTAAATAGACCAGCTTAAAGACTGAAGGCTGGCATATATATGTGGGGTGGAAAGGAACAGAAAATTTCGAGGTGGAATTCAAACCACCAGAGGAAAGTAAAAATTCAAACATGAGAATTTAGCGGTTGATTGTGGAAGAAAAGGTCAGCTTGTAGAGCTTACTTCACCGAATAAAGATTCGCAGCAATATTATCAGCTGCTTTGTCACGAATCCATGTCTTGCCGCCATTTTTGGTCTTCAATAAAATCCCACTTCCACCAGCAGCCCATGCCTCATCCTGAGTACCAAACAAATTAATTAATACATGAACAGCAGAAAAATGATTTAGTACAAAATGTAGGAACTAATTAAGTCCCAATTGAGGAAGTGCAGTTCATCAAACATCTTTTCTCTTGGTCTGTCCATATATTAAAATAAAATCAGGCAAGTCAATCAGAAATCATAATCTTACTTATTATAAAAATAATTCTGAAATTACTACCTTTTCATTTAACGTAGTATCAGTTGGAATGGCGAATTACCCATTCAATCTTATTTCTGTTGCAACAATAAACTAGCAGCCAATAATTACATGCATTCCTATTGCTAATTCAGCTCGTGTAAGTGATCGAACTATAATGACTAAATAGCACCACAGCCCTTCCCCTGAACGAGCAGGAGAAATTAATGAAACTGGTGATTCAAGATATCTTCAGGGAATGGTGCCTTTTGGGAGCATTTAAATTTCAGCAACATTAAGTGATTCATCATCAAGAATTCACCCCAAACTCACTCATGTAGTCTATTATGTTTGATTCAAGGCAACCATGCATATACCTGTGAGCGGTAGCCGACATCAAGAATGCCAAAACCACGGCTTTGTACAGAAACTTCTTCAAAGTCCTCCGATAACTGGAGATCAAGGACAATTTTCTTCATTATATGCAAAAGAAGATAAAGAAACCAGAGTAGCTACAGATAGCAAGAGCTCATACTGTAGAACCAAGTAAAAGGACCGTAACCTGTATAAGTAATAAAATGGTAAGTTTATGATCTGCCAAGACATAAGTGCGTGCACCAATTTTGGGTTTATCAAATAACCCAAGCAACACCACTCTATTCTCTGCCATTATGAGACTTTGAGCCCTTCATTCAACCATTATGCTGCTTTATTGCATAGAAAACCAGTAGTTTTATATCTAGCCTAAGAAACCCCATCCAGTCAACCTCATGTCATGTGCTTAACTAGGATTCTTGACCAGTCTCCCAAATGCAGTTAACTGAATTTTATTTTTATTTTTTTTGTAGGTAGAGTTATTTTAATAAAAAAGATATTACGCGTCCAGGAGTACTGTTCCTAGCAACTTAGCTCAATAGATATCATGACCAGTTTGTTAGATGTGGAATGGAATATCTTGCTCTTCTACCCATAGAGGTCCTCTATACAGATTTGACATGTTACATTTATGTTGACGTGAGAATACTTTCATGTACTTTGCTCAAATAGAAGAGAACTATTGCAGTGAAGGATCATTCATTCTAGAGTAAGATAATGAGTTCTTTTATTAACTTGCAGGAGATGGATATTTGTTTCTTATAGCAATTAAAGCCAGAGTTAAAATAAGACATTTAGGTAATATACAAGGTTTAATATTGTTGAGTTGTGTCCCACATCGATGGGTTATGGGTATCTTGGTCTCCTTATATGGTCTTGGGCAATCCTCACCTCACAAGCTAGCTTTTGGGGTTGAGTTAGGCCCAAGGTTCATCTTATCAGATATCAAAGTAAACTTAGGAGAAATTGGAAGATCATAAAAATTGTCTCCTTTTACAGAAATTGGACACAGCATCTTCTGAAAAGATTTTAAGGAAATTGATTGCTTCAACCGAGATACCAAGGGAATTGAGTGCACAAATAGGACATGCTACACTTCATCCTATCCGAACAAGAAATATTTATTTCATGCTAGGATCTTAATTTACTAACCCCTGTGCCCTTGCTGAGGTATAGCCCTCCACCACGCACGAGTAGCCAAAGACCACCATCAGCCCTCCAGCCCATGTTTTGGATTCTTCTAGCCACAGCTCTGTTATGCGGTTGCCAGTACGCCTGCAATGTAGTATATATACAACTAATTATATGTATAAAAATATACGACCTTTTTGGACATGAATAATCTTTTTCAAGAAATTTCAGCGCAACAATTGATGCCTACAGAAGGCAAATGAGCTTGTTAATTCACAAAAATATGAAAAGAATACATGTCAAAGAAACCATACCTGCCCTGGCTCCCAGGTCAAATAGAAGTTACCACGGCTTGAAACAGCTACATAACGTCCATCAGGAGAGCGATTAACAGTACTGAAAGTGCCTGTATAGTAACTGGCACCACTAATGCCACTAGAAACTGTTCTGCAATTTTAATAAGGATGTCTGTCATTTCACCTTATAAAGAAGAAACAAAAATAAGCTTCACAAGTAAGTTAATCATAAACCCTGGTCTTAACTATTTTTTGCCGTCACATATGACCTAAGCCAGCATCTAAATTGATTAGGTGCTAAATCCAACAGAATAACACTTTTTATCGAAAGATAGGGATTAGCTCGTCAAAGACCATTTGGGTAGCATCATCTTGTTTAGTGAAGTATCAGCAGTTAAAGCACCACCAGTTAACTATCAGTAGTTAAGCTATTTTCCAGAAAAGTAGAAAGAAAAACATGAGAGTAGAGAACATTCAAGAGTGACCCAGATAATAGGTTATACCAAGTACACATTACCTAAACAAAGAGTGAAAAACCCGCCTTTTTAGTTACTAAGTATTTGGTTTTTCTTTTTCTTTTCATTAATTAACCTCAAACTGAAATATATCTGTTCGTTGAGTTGGTCTCATTTTATTGTAGAAGTAGCGCATCAAACTCAAATCAACATTTTACACTCCAGCCTGATGCGTCACAGCTAACCAGAAAAACATGTCTACATAAAGCATTTCACAATTATGGAGTTCACCTTCTCAAAGATTACCTATTAAGGGTAGCGGACACAGTTTCTTGTATAGCAGCCTTCCAGTTGTATCCCTTGTTCGATGTAACATATATTGCACCTTCGTCAGTTACCATTTCTGCACTTTTTTCTCCAGTTGCCTTGATATAAACCTGTATATCAAGATGATTTCTTTCCTTAAGATTAGTAGCAAGAACAAACAGAAGAAAGATAGTCGGATTCTGTGCCTTGAGATATAAGTTGAGTCAAAGTTCCATTATTGAAACAAAGGTATAGAGGAACAAGAATTAGTTACCAGAAAAGAAAGGTACAGAGGAGCAAGAATGCTGCACAATCAACATAAGACCAATACACATTAATAAATTCTCTTTCTTTAAGCTCAATGTCAAATCAACATAAATAGAAAGCGGAGATTCCACCAAAATCACTACTTATCATAGTTGCTATCTTACTTAATGGCTTATATTTCAGATCCTAAAAAGCAAGCTATTATTGGGAGTTGCAGCTCGCAATGCGCTTCTTAGGCTTGTATTTCCCCATTATTTCATCAATTGTTGGAACACGACATTGATTGTCTGATCGCTTAATATCCCCATAAACAGCCATCTCAATCTTGTCAAGGTCTTCATCACTGAAGTTGATGTCACAAGAATATCCTTTCAACTGTGTTGTGCTAATAGCAACCTTGTCTGCTTTAGATCTATTCACCCTTGTTTGAAGAATTTGACAGTTCTCTGCCACAGAATCACCACCTTTAGAGAAGGGAACGATGTGATCATACTCAAAGCAAAGGCAACCTAGGCAGCTGTGGAATCGCTTGCCAACAATGTTGCCAGCTACATCTTTTCTCCACCTCTCAGGATCTCGACCTGGAACCTTCTCGGCTGTGTCCCAGCATTTCTTTCTAGCCTCCAAGTCAAAAAATCTAGGCCTCCCTTCCTTGTTGTCACTGGTAACACCACCATTATTAACGGTGAGCTGATACAAAAGCAAAGGTTATCTCTTTCTTGCTTCTTAACTTCCATTTTCCCAGCCCCATGGGAGGGAGTTGAGAGGAGAAATGATGCTTCTCTAGTCTGATGGACAGCAGGAATGTTAAACAAGATTCTGTATTTTCCTTTGTTAATTCAATTTTGCCCCCTTGTTGTGTATTTTGAGAAATGCTTTACTAAGCAGACAGATTAAGAGATCAGTGTAGAGGGTATTTACGTTAGTAAACAAGAATGTTTTCTGTGGCATGCTCCGATTTGAAGGTAGGAGTAAAGAAAGGTACTATTCTAGTTTCTGGAAATTTACTCAGAATCACTTATAAGACAAACTATAGAAAGTGAAAAGTTACATCAACACCTGCACCTTTTCGGCGCAGCATGTTTCGGGTAACAGTGATCTCGGAACAAAGCATCATTCCTCAGTTTCAGTATGTCTTTCAAGTAAATAGTACAAAATGCGCCTCGAGCTCTTACTGAACAGAGTTTCAAACAACAGTTGACACTTATAAAGCAAAATGACAATATTCTGCCACAGTTGAAGTGCTAGCAAGGAGTTCTTAAGCAACACACAAAGGAAGGGGGTGGAGGACAGAGAGAGAGGGAGGGAGACAGATAAAAACTTATATAAAATTAAAGAACAGATAGTTCAGATGAATGTATGTCGTCCTTAATTTTGTCTTATAATTCATTTGACTAAGAGTAAATGTTAAACTTGATAAGCTAGGATGCAATCAGATGCCAAAGCGGCAGATAGAAAGGGCATTTTTAACCCATAGAAACAACTTGCTAGGCTCTATTATGTGCCAATGCTTCAGCGCAGACTAAGATGATACATTTGAACTCTAAACTGATATATAGGGGCACTCACACCAGAGCAGAGTGTACTGAGAATAAGGTCCTGCAAACATTCTGACGGAAGTCATGCCAACAGTATAAAGCACGACTCTACATCTGCGTCCTACTCGTCAGAGTTGTCTTAATTCTAAGAATTTGATACTTTTTTTTCACTCTTGACTTTTTACTTTTTGCAACCTGCTTGCATCATTAATAAGTTTACATCCAGCAACATTGTCATTTCTCGACTAGACATATATAAGTCACTACATGAAAGATAACCAGTGATTGTCAACACTCCAAATGGCTAGTAATTTTCATATCGCTCTCACAAACATTACTTACTCTTCGTGCTTCCTATAGAAGAATGTGGATGAAAAATACGGTCATTGGACAATTTTCTCCCGAATTATTTTTGACAAAGAGTTTAGGCAAAACAAAAATATCTAGATAGTTTTTTGTGAAATTTCGTGAGTGTTCGCAAAAAGTTGTGCCTCGGGGAAGTTCTCAACCAAGTTTGTAAGAGAGAAATTTTTGAGGAAAACTTAAAACTAAGACCAAACCATATTTAATCGAAAAACTTTCCACAAAAATCAAAATATTTACATCGAAGCACTAAACCATATGTATACAGTAACCCCAAAAGTATAATGGGTTGTCAGAGATGAGCTCAATTGAAGAAGAATTGAAGAATTTAATGCTTACCATGTCACCAGGAAGTTGAGAACTCAAAGGTATCCGCTGCCAGGTTTCACCAGCATCGGAAGTATACAACAAGATTGCTGGTTTTCCAATAATCCACCCTTCCTTGCCTTTGAAGCTAATAGAATTAAACCTATAATTGAAATCTTCCTCTTCGGCAGAAGCTATAGATCTTGATGCCCAAGTACTTCCTCCATCCTTTGTTTCCAAAATAGTTTGCCTGGTCCCCAGTAGAAAACCTGGCAAAGCATGATTTTCCACAATTGTTCCACTAATAAACACAAATCTTTAACTCAATGCACAAAGCACACGGCATTGAAGTAAACAATTATCACAAAGGACGATATCCCATCATTGTTCAACTAAACTAAGAAAAAAGTTCTTAAACGTAAAGCACAACACCGCGAGGCTGTGCATGATGGTATCTCATCACTGTTAAATGAAATTAAGTACAAACCTTAAACTCAATGCACACTGCCATGAGGCTGTCAACGATGCATAGATGATTTGCCATCACTGTTTGACTAAAGTTAGTACAATTCTCAACATAATGCATTAGATCCTAAGGTTTTTGAGTATTCTTATATCTTCAAAAAGAATGATTAGAACTTCCCACCATCATCAATTAGCTAAATTAAGCACAATTCCCTAACTTACAACCACCACATTCTAGGGATTTGAGCATACTTAGGTCAAATTTAATGTAATTTTTAAAGAAGATCTCTTATCCATTCGTCGTTCTTAATTTGAGAGCTACTGTCAGACATTTACATACTGTTTCCTCTGATACCAATTTGTTGGGCTAAGCTGGTCCAAGCCTCATTTCTTAGCAACCTATTTGTACACCCAACTAAACATTTGAAGAAAAAAATGCTTGCAAGTTAAAACATTTTGCAGTTTCCTCCGTACCAAACACACTCTATTCAGTTAAGCAAAAATCGATAAACTCAATGCAGCATTGAGAGCAGTTATGGAAGAGAATGAATAACACAAACCGTGAGTGGGGTCATCGGGAACAAAGGCAATGTCGAGAAGGACGACACCAGGGTCAATAGGAAGATAAACTCTTTCCCATTCAGAGAGAGGCACCTCGTCAGCTTTAGCGGGGAGAGGTGAGATTCCGGCTCCGAGCAATGGCGGTAGTGCAATGGCAGCAGCAGTCTCAGCGATTAACTGCCTGCGGTTAATACTAGCTGATGCTCTTGGTACCAACCGAGGAAGCTGATGAGGCGAAGCAGCAGCAGAAGAAGAAGAAGAAGAAATGGTGTTAGAAGTAGGTTTGAGAGGAGTGAAAATGGAGTTCCAGCAAGAACATGCCATTGTTTTTGTTATGTTTGGTGCTCTCACTCTTATCCGAATGGAAGGAATGAAAGAAAGAGAATTGCTGTTGCTTTTTCCAAACAGCTTCGCGGGAGGTTTGAAGCATACGTATTCCCTAAACATTACGAGTGGTCATGAATTCGTTATCTAAGGGGCCACCTTCTCCTCAACAGGCTGGAATATTCTTCTTCTATAAAAAAAAATATTTTATAAATACATAGCGAAACTATATATGAATTCCTTCTTTGCTTTTACCTTTTGTTTGGGATGAATGACACAATTACTCATAAAAATAATTTTCTCTTTTTTCTCGTTTTTTTTTGTTTTTAGGAATAATTTCACATAAATACAATTCACACACCTGACTGCAATATAATAGCCTAGATACTATTTTGCAAATCTATAGCCCAAAAAATAATAGGCTAATTCCCGAAAAATAACTTATTTCACACAATCAACTACGGTTATTACTCCCTCTTTATACAACCAGTTGTTTTCATACACTATTATGTGCAATTGCTTAAGCAATCCAACATGATAAAAGAAAAATAAAAACTTGGTAAATGAATTGTGGAATCCGTACAAATCTTTTTTATACAGCACATACACGAAAAAAGAAGAAGAGAAGGAAGTGTCAAACTTCCGTAGAGGCCTCTTACACACTAATAATGTATATACATCCTTATAAACTGAAAAATATATATAATTATACAACATTATACACAAATATATACATTTATACACAATTATACAGTACTGTATAACTTGTATAAACATGTATAATAGTGTATAAGAGGTGTTTGTATATTCATATACACAATTATACACTATTATACAGTGTTTATACAAACTGCTACATAGTTATGTCCAATCCTCGAGCTGTAGTAGAAGGTATTGGATGATTCAACTCGTCTATAGGTTAGCAATTTTGCGCCAACGATTCGGAATTCAACGCACAGATACGATACACCAAATTTCAGATTCGAGACTTCAAGGAGGATAACACACATATAACAGGAATCAATAACTTGCGATGAGCCAAGAAGGTCCACAAGCTTAAGAACAAGCAAGTCTGGAGCTTTCTGCTTCATCGTATTGAAGATTGATTTAGCTTCCGATCTTTTCTCCTCGGAGCTCGACCAGACATTGGAAATTAAGGTTTCAAACTGCAAAGAGTCAGACCCAATTTCAAAAATCTTCAATATTCTTCTGCTTGCCATCATGGACGACGGAGTAGGAGCCCAAGCCTTCTTCGAGCCATTGATGGCAGAACTGCGTAAGGGGTAGGGGAGGGGGATAGCGGGGGCTAGGTTAAGAGAGGATGAGGGATCTATGTGGGTTGGAAAGAAAGAAGCGAGAGGCGGTGAGAGAGAATTTGGTGTGCTGGGAATGAAGAAAGAAGAAAATAATAAAAACCCTAAAAGTGTGTCTTTAATAATGGGCTACAGGCTGAAAAGTTTCTTTCAAGTTATGTACAACATGGGCTAAATAGGATAAGAGCTTCATATCTGGGCCATTTTCGGCTGGACTGTTAGACCAAGTGACAAGGGCCGTAATTCTTTCTTCTTTTTTATTGCTTTGCTTCTTTCCCTTTTTCCTTCTTTTCTTTCTTTTCCTTTTCTCGTTTTTTTATATCTTTTTTCTTCTTTTCTGTTCATTTATTTTTTTGCCCATATCATATTATTATTATTATTATTATTATTATTATTATTATTATTATTATTATTATTATTATTATTATTATTCACACTCAATTTTGGCTTTTTTTTCTTTTGTTTATTTTCTTTATTTGTTGTTTTTTATTCTAATTTTATTTAACTCCTTTTTTCTTTTATTTTATTTCTCTTCATAATCTAATTTCATTGGCTCTTTTTTCTCTTTTTTATTCTTCTTCTTTTTTATACAATAAGAAAAGATAACTGATAAAGTAAATATTTATTCACCTTTTTTAATATAACCGGTACAATATATATTTTTGTCTTTTTTTCTTAGTTTTAATTCAATTATTAGAACAACTTATACACTATAACTGTTTCTCTTCTCTTTTTTGTTTTTATTTTATTTTTTATTATTATTTATTATTATTTCAAATTATTCCTTTTTTTCATAATCTCTGCACAATGTTTTTGCTCCTTTATTTTTATTCTTTTTGTTTATTTGTATTTTTTATATATTAGTTTTTAAAAAAATAACTTAATTTAGCATATAGTATATCAAAAATAATATATTAGTAGCAGTTGACGTATATTATTGCAGTATACTATGATACCCGCATGCTAGATATCATATACTGACTGGATATATAATATTGAATACTCTATTAGAAAATTGAAAATTAAAAAATGACCCATTGAATTTTGTTTTGTTTTTGAAAAATTAAAAAAATACCAAATTTAACTATATCAATTAATTATATACTATTGAATTAAATATTATATACCAAAATGTTATATAGTATGTTATTTTGGTATATAGTACAAATTAGTCTTCTTCGCTAGTTCAACACAATTTCAACCTAAATTTCAAAATTCTACTACAGAATTTTACCAAATTGACTCAAACTTTAGCCACATCCTCCAATCAAATATTTGAGACTAAATATTTTGGTTTAAGAAAAAAATTAAAATAAAACATGAGAACTCCGTTGAAATATTGAAAAAGAATTCAATGAAAATTTCAATAAATTCTAGAAGTACCAAATTGTAACAGTATATTGTTACATTATATAGTATACTGTAATAGTATATCAATGAAATAAAGTGTTTACCAAAATGGGTATAGTATATCATTTTGGTATATAGTACAAATTCTTCTTCGACAGTTCAATGCAATAAATTATATACTATTGGATTAAATATTATATACCAAAATAGTATATAGTATGCTATTTTGGTATATAGCACAGATTAGTCTTCTTCGCTAGTTCACCTCATTTTCAACCTTAATCTTAAAAATCTACTCCAGATTTTTCACCAAATTGACTCAAACTTTAGCCATAACCTCCAATCAAATATTTCAAACTAAATTTTTGGTTAAAAAAATTTAAAAAAAAAATATGAGAACCCCATTGAAAAGTTGAAAAGAAATCACTAAAAAAAATTTTAAAAATTCTAAAAGGACCATAATGTAATAGTATATTGTTACATTATATAGTATATTATTACAGTATACCGTTGGAATGAACTGTATACCAAAAAAGTATATAGTATATTATTTTGGCATACAATACAAATTCTTCTTCACCAGTTCAACACAATAAATTTTACACTATTGAGTTAAATATTATATATCAAATGGTATACAGTATGTTATTTTGGTATATAATACAAATTTTTCTTTGCTAGTTCAACTTAGTTTCAATAAATTTCAAAAATCTATTGTAATGACCGGTCGTTTTGAGCTCTAACACGTCGTTCGACGGTTTGAAGTCTTGAGTAGCTTCACTTCAGGTATTACGACTTGTACGCGTGGTCGGAATTGAATTCCGGGAAGTTCAGAGTTGATTTGGAGAGAGAATTCTCATGTTGGAAGCTTTAAGTTGAAAGAATTGACTAAGATTGAATTTTTGAGAAAACGACCTCGGAATCGGGATTCAAAGGTTCCAGCAGATTCGTATGATGATTTCGGACTTGGGCGTATGTCCGGATCGGGTTTTGGAAGACCCGAGAACGTTTCAGCACCTATTGTGGAAGTTAGCATTTTTGGAAGAATTTCATAAGTTTGGGTTGAAGTGCATTTCAGTGTTATCGATGTCCGTTTGGGATTACGAGTCTGGAAATAGCTCCGTATGGTGATTCTGGTGTTGGGAGCGCGATCAGAAGTGAATTCGGAGGTCCGTGGGTCATTTTGGAGTCATTTGGCTAAAGATAGAAATTTGAAAGTTTTTAAGAAGTTTGACCGGAAGTGGACTTTTTGATATCGGGGTCGGATTCCGATTCCGGAAGTTGGAGTAGGTCCGTAATGTTGAATATGACTGGTGCGCAAAATTTGAGGTCAATCGGATGTGATTTGATAGTTTTCGGCATCGAATGTTGAAGTTTGAATTTCTCAAGTTCATCAAGTTTGATTTGGGGTGTGATTTGTGATTTTAGTGTTGTTTGATATGATTTGAGACCTCCAGCAAGTCCGTAATGTGTTTTGGGACTGGTTGGCATGATTGATTGGGTCCGGGGGCCTCGGGTGCATTTCGGATGGTTAACGGATCAATTTTTAGAATTTGAAGAAAAAGTGATCAGCTGCCTTCTGGTGTAACTGCACCTGCGAGGCTTGGGCCGTGGTGCGGAGCCGCAGAAGCGGCCCTTGGGTCGCAGAAGCAGAAAATGGGCTGGCCAGGCTGGGACCGCAGATGCGGTCGTTTTGTCGCAGATACGTGACTGCACCTGCGGAAGGAGAAGCGCAGATGCGAAAGCTGAGGCTAGGAGGAGGACCGCAGAAGCGGACGGTAGCTCGCACCTGTGGAACCGCAGAAGCAGTCAAGCGCCCGCAGGTGCGAAAATGCTTGAATCAGTAAGGTTGTTTAAAACGGGGGTTTAGCTCATTTCAACCCCATTTTCTCCATGGGAGCCGATCTTTGGGCGATTTTGGAGCTCCATCTTTGTCATCCATGTCAAGGTAAGTGGTTTTCTACTAGTTTTGAGTTAAATACTTGGATTATATATGGATTAGAGCATGAAAATTAGTGAAAATTGTGGGTTTTTGGTGGAAGACCTAGAAAATTATATTTTGGATTTTTACCACGGTTTTGAACATGAAATTGAGAGTAAAATATATATTTGAGTTCGTGAGGCCATGGGTAAACTTTATATTTGAAAATTTTCGGAATCCGGGCACGTGGACCCGAGGGCATTTTTGTTAACTTTTCGATCGGGGTTAGGAATTGTTACAAATCGTATTATTATGAGTAATTGAACATATATTAATGGATTTACGTAATTATTGGCTAGTTTTGGAGCGTTGTGCATCAATTTAAGTCTTCGGAAGGGCGTGGAATGCCGGTTATGGAACTTCGGAGCGAGGTGAGTCTCCTTTCTAACCTTGTAAGGGAATTTTCCCCATAGGTGAGTTAATTAGTTATGTGCTCCTAATTGTGGGGGCTACGTACGCACGAGGTGACGA